ATGTTAAATATAAAGATAAATATCAATAGTGAACCAGACAGATACATATGCATCATTTCTAATACAATTTACCTTTCCAAATCAAATTTAAACATATATAACCTAATTTCTCATTATAATTATAAACCACGATTTTGACTAGACACTAACGAAAAAAATCTATCCATTGGCAATGAACCCTAACGTAAACTAACATTCAAGGAAATTAACAAACCCTAACGATCAACAATAAAGAAACAATAACATATATATATATATATATATATATATATATATATATATATATATATATATATATATAAATCATTGGTTATAAGCAATTAACAATTAATGGATAAATAATGAAAATCTATTGCTAGGTTTTTTCAAATACGTTACATGTAAGATCAGTACCAATAGTTTAAGTTCAATCGAGCAATAATAGAGTTCATCGACAGAGAAGGCATGGATGGTGTCATGTTACAATAGTTGAGCAAATTAGGGTTAAGGTTTCTATGATTTTAGGTTACAGATGCAATCTGAGTTTGGAAACTATAGAGAGGTTGCAGAGCTGCGTAAGTATTGTTCAAAAGAAATGGTATTTGAATTCTTCTTTTGTTAAGATGATGTCATCAAATTTATCTAAAATGAAAAAACTTATTAATGAAATACAATTAGTGACCCTTATTGCTTCATTGATGAGTTTAGGTTTCTATTTTAATGTATATTAGAGATAGAGATTATTTTATAGTAATGTCAATGATATAATCATTTTCAATGACATATATTTATCAAAAATTTAGTTTGCACAATATACATATATTCACCAAATAATAAAGATTAAAATGTAATATTTCTCTTTTTTGAATTTAATGAGATAATAAGTTTGCACAATGTACTTACATTCACCAAATAATAAAGATTAAAATGTTACATTTCTCTGTTTTGAATTTAATGAGATAATAAATATTCCTAATTAGGCTTGTAAACGAACTGAACATTCAACGAACCGTTCGGCAGGAAGTTTGTTTATGTTATTTTATTTAATAAATCGAACATGAACACAAATTCTTATTCGTTTGGTTAAATGGAGGAATGTGAACAATGATCTCATTCGTGAACGTTTGTTTATGTTCAATCATGTAATTTTCTTTTATGTTCATATATATTTAGTTGTGTTTGATTATATTATTATATTATATGTTAATATATGTCTGATTATGTTTGTTTATTTTTATTCATTTATGTTCGTTCGTTTATATTCATGAATATAAATGAAAAAACATAAAAAATGTAATTTGTTAAATGAACAAACATGAACAAAAAAACTCGTTCGTTTATCCGTTCGTATTCATTAACTTCGTTTACAACCCTATTCATAATATCTCGAAATCGACGCGTGAAGGAGTTTTCAAAACTTTTCCTTCAATTTGTTTCAACTTGCAACATGTCTTTAATTAGAGACAAATATAAAAATTAAGTTATTATTAAACAAATTTGCAACATGTACAAGTATAAAAATTAAGTTATTATTGATAGATTGTTAAAGGGTCCATTGTTAAATCAGTGAGCAAAACTTACATGCGCAGGTTAGCGGGGCTAGCGTTAACATGTGCGCAAGTTAGACGTGTCCTCCGCCTCTCCGTTTTGTGTGAAAACTTCTACTCTCTCTTTCCAAAACTCCAGTTCAACAGGTTCGTGTATTTTGGCAAAAGTTTGGAGAAAGAGAGGCAAATCTGTGAGCAAAGAAAGATGACAGAGGCCTTCATAAGGAACAAGCCAGGAATGGCGAGCGTCAAAGACATGCCACTTCTCCAAGACGGTCCTCCTCCCGGCGGTTTTGCGCCGGTCAGGTACGCACGGAGGATCCCGTCCAAAGGACCCAGCGCCGTCGCCATATTCCTCACTACTTTCGGCATTTTCTCTTGGGGTATGTACGAGGTCGGCAAGGGCAACAAAATCCGTAGGTAAGTATCTCGATTTCCGGAAACCCCTTGTTCTTCTTTTCAAGCATCTAGTATCTAATTGAACTGCGATTAAAGGTAGGTAGCATTCTAATTGATGATCGAAAACTAAAATTGTATCAGATCTGTTATGAATTTCAGAAACAGTTTGTTCGATCATTTCTAGGTTTAGAAATTGGATAGATAATACACGAGAAGATGCTTATTACTTCCAGAGCTAGCTTCCATCTTTTATTGGTGTTCACATTCAAAGAGATTGATTATTGATACGAGTACCTGGTTTACTAGAAAAAAATGATGATTGCATATGACAAATACTACGAATTGCAATTCTTTGTGACAAAATTTGTAACAAAAACCCATTGTAACTTCTGAGTTTTCAGGAATTGAAATCTTGTGTTCTTGTTTTTGAATCATAGTCTTCTCCAAGCAAATTATATCTCCAATGGCTCCCGCCTCCCAGCAAATCTGACTCAATTGTTCTTTTAACATCCTGCCATTACAAGAAGTTGCAAATCCCAAAGTTATTGTATAGAATCATTTCGGGACATGTTATTTTGGTATGATGAAACTTACTTTAGAATTGAGAAGTTTAGGGTTGAAAGATAAGAAATATATTAAAGTGATTTGAATATTGAGAAAATATATTTTATAGCTTATAGTACATCTAAAACTTTTGTTAAAATTAAAACAATAACTACTTCATGTGGTCCATATTCCTTTCCTTCTGAGATATATACGTAAGCTTTAAGCTTAGTGAGTAGTTATGATTTTGGTTCTTTAGCATAAACATTTAATGCAAAATAGTTAATACATTTTTTCTTGTAACATCTGTCATAGTTGAAAACATTCCTTTGAAATCTTATATCTACATGTAAGTAGGCCAAACTGCTCAGAGATTAGCTAACATTAACATGTATAAAAATTTCAAGGTGTTTTGCTCTTTAAAACCTTCCACCTAATGTACTTGTTGCTTGTCTTGTGGTAATTCTAAGCTACTTGTGTGCTTGCTTGCTTATTTCCAACTTTTTTTAAAAATAAAATTTGTATTGTTTTTCCATAACAAACATTTCTTAAATGTTCCCCTTTGTTGTCTCTATCCTTCTATAGTTCTATTGTACAAGTAATTCTTATAAAAGTATTAGACTTGTTTAACTCTATTAATATGCAAATGTATACATTTATTTTTTTTAAAACAGGAACAATATATATATAATACTACAATCATTATATAAATTGCATCTTTTTGATTTATGTAGGGCAATAAAGGAGGAAAAGTATGCTGCCCGAAGGGCAATTTTGCCAATGCTACAGGCAGAAGAGGATGAAAGGTGAGCAAGCCGAAATGGTCATCTCTTTTGTTGTTGTTGTTTTTGGTTAAAAATTGATTTTGATTGGTTTGTGATTAGATTTGTGAAAGAATGGAGGAAATATTTAGAAGAAGAGGCACGGATAATGAAAGATGTGCCAGGGTGGAAAGTTGGTGAGAGTGTTTATAACTCTGGAAGATGGATGCCTCCTGCCACCGGTGAACTTCGCCCTGAGGTCTGGTAATCAACCTAAAATAATGGTCTTATCATAAAGGGAAAATAAAATGCGATGTATTTTGTGATTTTTTGTGCTGCTTTGACTATTAGGTCAAGATTTGACCTTTTGTTGTGACACCAGAAAGATACTTGCTATATCTATAGTGTATTGGTACTTGGCAGCTTGCCTATGGCCCCATGCTATATGATAAGATAAATTGTTGGTGTTTTCGTTCTTTTCAATTAATTGAATTGTTATTAATATCTTGATGAGTAGTTGTTGAAGGTTTGTAATTGTGTAGTTTGCTGCACCATTTTTGTATCCATGATGGTGTTTGTTTGGTTGTGTAGTATTTAATGGGGCAAGTTTTAGAAAAACACTTACATTTTATGTTTTTTACCTGAAAACACCTATGTTTTTTTTTTTATAGAAAAACTGGATGAATTTTATTCATTTAAACAGTTATTTATCAACTAAGAGCTGTTTGATATGTGCTGATTAAGTCAGGGCTAACTAAGTTAGTTGAATATGAGCGTGTAAGAGATCAAGTAAGAGACATATCAAACAGTTTGGACCAAGTTACATCAAACAGTTTGAATTTGATAGAGTCAAAACCCAACCTCTCAACAGACCAAGAGGCATATCCCCTAAAATTGGTTAACAACCTAACAAGACACACACACACACACACAAAAAAAAAAAAAAAAAAAAAACCTGAAAATTGATTGGTAGGTTACAATAAACAAAACAAATTAAACAAAAACAAATTATAGCAATTGAAACTTCACATCAAAACATAAGAAAATTTTAAAAATTTGACATTTATAAAATGTCATATTTGAGATTCCTCAAACACTTGAATAAAGTAGTTTGTATAGTTTATAGTCGGTCCGTGTTTATTGCATTATTAAAAGTCAAACATTAACATTTTCCCCAAACTTTCTCTATACTTAAAGAAAGTTCATATACATTAGAGAGCAACAAATTAAAACCGAAATGATGATTATTGTATTTAAGTACAAACAATAAATCACAAATTATATTTATTATTTACTATCAAAAGTCACAAATGGGAACTGAAAATTGCAAAAAAAAAAAAAAAGTATAGGCAAATCAAAAATTTTGACCTATAAAAAGGAGATCAACAGTGTAATCATGTGGCTCCAAACTAATCTTCTCAAAGGAAAAGATGTCATTTCAAAAACTACTGTGGCTCCTAGTTTCCCTCACTTAACTTAAAAGATAAACATTGTTTTCATGTAATAAGGGAATCAAAATGGTAGACATCATCAATTTCACATCAGGGCTGAATGAGATTAGTAAAGTGTCAAAGTTCTGTAAAAAAATTACCTTATGTTCGTCTCCCTTCTCAACTTCTGATCCATTTTATATCAATTTTACCACTTCCTTCCTATAAACAACATCAAATTGAAATAATAAACTTTTTGATTACCTATACGCTTTTGATGACAGTAAACATAAAATGAAAACTTAATTAGATCGTAGAATTCAACAATCTTTTTGATCACCTATAAATCCACTTACAAACAAACTTAGGGAAAGTAGAAAAAAAATGAAACAATGGAGTATTTATTTTAACAAGCAAATCATTATTTATTTTACATTCATACATTACCAACAAACACAAATTCACAATCACTATCAACCAAACAAACAGATTCAACTACATTTAAACAACAAAATAACACAAAATCTCACAAACTATCAAACAAAACAAGGACCAGTGCCACCTTTTTTTTCAGCATCTGGAACACTCGAGTAGCAGAAAAGCTCATTAGACATCTTCCACCCCCAATCACATCCCCTTGAAATCAACATCTGTGGCCACCTGTTGATCCTAACATAATGCTTCCTAATCTTCCCATCTGCCAAGAAACTTGTAACAATGGAGTAACAACACTCATGTCCACCCCACACCTTGTCACCAGGATCCGCAGTTTGACTTCCATCCAGATGAAAGTAGCGACGCATTGGTCTGCCTGTTCCTTTCCAGTATGGATCCAAGTTCCGCCAGAATTCTGGTGCTGACTGGCAGCAATACGGCGGTGATTGTGAATCTCATAAGTTGAATGTATTTTATACCAATGTCTTAAATTGGCAACCAACTATTCATCTTATGTTGTCTAAGGGGCTGTTTGGTAACCTCTGAATGAATGCTCAAGCATTCATTCAATGTGTTTGGTTTTTGGTTCATCCTCCGAATGAACCAAAAACCATGGAACCGCCTCTGAACGGTTAAGAAAGCTTGCCTTCTCTTAACCGTTAAGAGGTTGGAACCATTCAGTTTGGCATTCAGCACGATTTACCAAACAGCCCCTAAGAGCATCCACAATAGGCGAGCTTTTTTATTGAAGCTTCAAATGAAAAAGTTCCTTATCTCCACTCTCCACAATTGAAGAGCTTTTTCACTTAGCTTTTTATGGGAAGAGCTTGTCAATTAACAAGCAACTTGAAAAAACTTTAATCTGAAAAAGCTCCTCTCTCTCTCTCTCTCTCTCTCTCTCTCTCTCTCTCTCTTTCTCTCTCTCTCTCTCAATATTAATTTGAAGAGCTTTTTGGCTTAAAAAAACTCATATTGTGGATGCTCTAAGTCACCAATCATTTAAATCGACTCGATAAGCCACTAGACATGTAACGCGTTTTCAGTTACACTATTGGGATCAATTTGGCATTCTGCTGATATACTCTGTTCATATTATGTCCATGTGGTGGTGCTGACATGGCATCCACATGTCATTTTTTCTCTACAAAAATAAAATCAAATAGAAGTCCACGTGGACAAAATATGAACAAATTTTGCTAGGTGCAACGTTGGATGCCACCTAGGATTGAATACGGGTACACCCTATTAAAATTGATCTCAATGCCACGTGGACATAATATGAACAAATTTGCCAACATGTTCACAGGGTCGGATGCCATGTAGGATTGCATACATGTTTGCCCTGTTAAAATTGATCCGAGAATTAGAATAAATTTCGCTGTAGGATTTCACCCTATTAAAATTGATCCCAAAGGTGCAATTTGAAACATATTAGATGTTTAATGCCCTATCAATAGTTGGTTACCCTTCTATGACATTAATCCTATACTAAAAGTCAACAAGAATAGATATTAGATAATACAGGAAATAAAAAGCACATGAAACCTTTTTAAAGTGAAACTCCCAAGCATGATCCCACAAGTCTTCCTTCATGATTCGGCTCTGAAATAGAAAAAAACCAAAGTACTTCCATTTAATTGTTTATTATATCATCCTACTTCCATTTCTTTCCATTAAACTATTACAACATTTTTTTTTCTTTTTGTTCTTATTAGGGCATTGTACATTGAAAAATCTACCCAATTTTAAGATTTGTAAAGTACAACGCTGTAATAGGAAGAAATGAAAGTATGATGCTATAATAAAAAAATAAACTGAAGTACATTGCTATCTTTTGCATTTTAAAAAAAGAAAGAAGTAAAGAGAGAAACATACACGTTTTGCATCCATAATTGATAGGGAGTAAGCAGCCAACTTTGACAATCCCTTTGTTTGGGAGACACGAGGTAGATGTGCTTTGCTAGCCCATAACTCTTCACACTGTCAACAAGAAATCAAGTTTCTTCTCAATCAATATAGATGTTTATACAAGTTGTGCTCATAAAGGATCAGAAATGAATAAAAACATTTTGGATTTATAAAGCAATGATCACGAAGAATATTATTTTGTTTCAGATGTAGATGTTCAAACTACAAAGTGAAAGGTGTGTATTTACTATTTAGTGCAAGTTTCTCTTGTACAAAGGGAGTTGAATATGAATAACTTAAAATTTAACTTCATTTCTTATTTATAAACTTTAAAAATGAATAAATGAACTTGCTGAGGAATTATAAACTTTGAACAAACTATTTGATCAAGTCCTAAAACATATTCCGTATACAATGACAAATAAAAACCAAAAACTCTAAAATAAATAAATTCACTCACTAACAGATCATCTATGTAGACATAGTGTTGTTTCTTTTTGACTCAATAAGGTATGTTCTTGATATTCACACACTAGTGTGGTTTACTATGTGTGCAAACTTCTTCCTAAATATGGAAAACCTATTAAGGATCCATACCAATATATGAGATGCATTGGGATATTTAACTATGTGATAGTGACATCTCCTTTAAGTTAGTAGCTTGCTCACATTCTCACAAAACCGCAACAAAAAGCACAAATATATTTTATCCATTGGGGGCGATTAACATCTTTGCTCCAACTTAAGGATGAGTATCAAACAACTCAAAACCCAATGAACTCTGGTATTCAATCCAAATCCTTCACAAACGTTTTACAACGAGATGGAAGGCAAACGGATAACAAACTTCGCCCCTAAACCTTTATGATTGCCAAAACTAATTATTTTAAAAACTACATCCATAGATCTTGGGGTCTCAACATTACTATGTATGACCAGTTGGACTCTGTTGACAAACTTAAAAGCCTCCACAACCCCTGATGCAAGGAAACCAAAAATATCAAACGCGAATGGTATAAACACATGTTGATTATCCAACACCCTTTCTCGTGTTTTATCACTTTAGCTTGTCCTTGGTCCCGTAGTGAAACCCCCACTACAATTTATTTATATAGAATAGGGTCACATGATAACTTATATCATCTCCAACTCACTTATAACAAAATATTGTAAATATTAAATATCATATTCAAATTATAGTTAGCAAATAAAATTAAACTAGAAATGTATAATTATATAAAACGAGAGACTAAAACCGACAACTCAAAGTTCATCCCCATTTTGGGGGGATATGAATAGTATTACACCAAATATGGTGCAATACTATTCATAATTTCATATCCTCCAAAATGGGGGAATAAATAGGGTAGGGTTGGAGAAGAATGGGAAAAAAATGGGGGAAAATATGGAAAATGGGAAATATTCATCTTGAGGTTTAGCACTCACTTCCTATTTACATTATATCTTGTAAGTAAGTGAATGCTAAACCTCACGATGAATATTTCCCAAATCTTATAACTTAGCACTTACACAAAGCTTGTTAGGGGGAAAACAAATACCCAACACACTAACACACACAAATTATGGTACAAAAAAGAGAGTATTTGGTGATTTACGTGTTTCACACAACTAGTTTTTACAAACACATGAGATTCATACTATTTTGGGCCTAAGATTCCAACCACAGGGTCCCTTCAGCAACCATCAAACTCCACAACTCAACAGAGCTTGTTGTTTCTCTTCTTCTCAAACTTACAAAAAGAAGTTACAGTGTATGCCTTCAATTGACAATAGGGTGGAAAAAACACAATCTAACTTATTAACTCATCTTTCTCATTACCCATCCTAATCAAATTAAACCATGAGAAGTGAATTGAGTTCCCAAAGAATTAGATTACATATAAGCCATACAAGATCATACATAAGTGACCCATGAAAGAATAATAGTAAACCAAGGTATAAAGTTGTTAGCCATTAACTGTGACTCACCAACATTTAAGTTTTATTTTCAACATCATCTTTACGAAGCATTGCATTCTTCAGCTTGCACTATTCCTTTTAATGTTTTCTTGTGTATTTGAGTATCTTGATATAAGTTTCTTGATTCTGTACCACAAGAATAAGATGCAGATAATTAGATTATTATTAGGTAAAAGTTTTAACCAATCCACCTTCTTCACGTAACCTGAGAAGAGGTTGAACTCTAATTGCAGACACTAGTTTAATTTATCCCAAAGCATATAATGGATCACGATAACCCTAAATTATTCATTCTATCAATAACTCAACTTGTATTCGCAATCAATTAAGGGATTTATTCTTTCGAATGTAGGAAACCAAAAAGATTCCAAATTTAACTTCCAAAGAAGCTTCGCTTCTTCCAAACCCTGTACTAAACTCACAACAAGCTACAATCTTATCAAGATTCAAGATTGATGGAATATCGATAAACCCAAAAAGCAAAAAAGCTTCAACAACAACAATTATCGACTATTTTGTGATTTTGTGTACCTTTTTAGACCAGATGGCATCACTGGAAGCGACTCCATGCCAGCTACGAGAGACCAAAAGTGATAGTGCCACGCTGCGTGCGTCGAGATGGTTTAGTATCATTAACATGATATCCCTACCAAATACGACTAAAGGGTCCTCTGAATTTTCTTGAGAATCACAATTTCCCCTTTTCCTTTTCCTTTTCCTCTTCTTCTTGATTTCCCCGGTGAAATTGTTCAATACCTCCATTTTCCTACTAGCGAAATTCCCATTGTAATCATCGTCTTCGTATTCAGAGGGTCGATAACCATCGTTTACGACTTCAAGAGCCATCTTTCTCTCTCAAGAAAAGTAAGGAAACTGAGAAAATGAGAAAACCCACATGAAAATACGCACAATTTGTTGAAGCACATGTACGTATATGCGTTATATAGACAAAGAGCTAGAAGAGTCACTGAAAAACAGTGGAGGTGGAGGTGGAGGTGGATAGGTCTAAAGTGAACTTTGTTGGAACCTGGAATGGTCTTTATTGTGTTTGCAGATTTTGCCACGTCAACGCTCCTAGAAAAAGATCTTCTCCAATGTACTTTGGCGTTAAGTCTAATTCATACGATGTGGATGTGGATCAATATGCTTCATCTGTACGATGTCGTTTACTTGATGTGGTCAACGTAAAGTTATCGTTCGCTTGTTGTGGTCAACGAAACGAAAGTTATGCGTTTGCTTGTTTGGTCTACGTTATGAAAGTTATGGGTCGGACGCAAGATTTTATAATAAGGATTGCACGGAAAGATTAGGGGTTGGACGATAGTAGAAAAAATAAAAAATTTAAAAATTTTCGAAAATTTTTCCACTGCAGCCGGAAAATTTAGGGGTTGCCAGTGCCACCCCGGAACCCCCCTAAATCCGCCACTGATCATCGTATAGTTGAACCTTGAACATTTTCCTTATATATATAAGACTAAAGGGTATGACGATGGTTTTAGATTTGACGGAGTGGCTCGGTGAGGCCTTCGGTAAATCCAACGCGTGCTCGGTGAACAGGGCCACGTCCTCGGTGAACCGAGCTCGGCTCGACGACTCGGTAGAAATACTCCGATGAGAGAGAGTGTATGTGAGGTGGCTGGGGGTTTGAAAATCTTACCGTTTTTTGGGTTTTTTATGATTGTTTTTATCAAAAAATATATCAAAATTTACCCTCTTTCAATCCTATATTAATACTACTACATAACTCATTTCATACCACTTTATATTCTTCTAATTTTCACTCAAAAAACCTTATACTTGTGAAAAATGGCTTCCATTTCCAACCAAAAAACTCCAAAAATACCAAAAGTACACCCAAAACACAAACTCAATTTCACATTATCAATTTCAAAACCAACCACAATTTCAAAACTAGTCTCAAATGAACTTCTCATCCCAACTCCAATCGCAAATGGAAAATGACTTTAACCCATTTGACCATTTATGTGATATTAGACCCCCGATCTCTTCTTCCGTAAGGCTGACGAGACTCTAGTGATGATTTGTTATCATAATAAGATAAGATAAACCGCCAGTCGGTCTCCACGAAGTGATCTCGGGAGAACGCTCTGATGGTCAAGTTAGTCTTTGGGATATATGAATATGTGTTTCTGCTAAGTTGCTTCGTATGCTTGTTTCGAATGTATGATTGTGTGGTTGCTATTTTACTTTGTTTAAAGTAGCTTGTTATTGTGTGCTTCATGTTTAGTATCTTTGTAGATAACGTATGAGTCTAGACTTTGTGTCTAACATCCCTTATTGTTAGCGAGTGAGTCAAAGTATCACATACTAGACTTCTATGTGGGTAGGGACTCATTGTTTGGTCCATTTGTCACATTTGATGGGGCGTCGGGGTTTTATCGTTGTTGTCCAAGTGTTTTCGGGTCAAGACCTTTAGAAACTGTTTAGTCGTTTTGATGGTCTAGTCGTTGGTCTCTTGATTTCTAGGCGGGTCAAAGCCAAGGGCTTTGGAACCGTTTGTCGTTTCGAAAAAAATGCCGAGGCATTGTCCTCTAGACTCTAGGCAGGTCAAGGCTAAGGGCTTTGGAACCATTTTCTGTTTCGAAAAAATGTTGAGACATTGACCTCTAGACTTTGGGTGGGTCAAAGCCAGGGACTTTGGAACCATTTTCCGTTTCGAAAATATATCAAGGCATTGTCCTCTAAACTCTAGGAAGATCAAAGCCAGGGGCTTTGGAACCGTTGTCGTTTATCATCACATGTGGTTTTATAGGTGTGCGCTTTTAATATTTTGAATTTAGAAGAGTTTGCGTTGGATGCATATCGGGTGGAGAGGGTGATTAGTCCTTCCTTTGTTACATGCTTTTGAAAGGAAAAACGAAAAGTAACAAAAAAAAAGTACATGCTCTCGAGCTTGCTCGTCTGGAATATGAGGGGGTGTGCGTTCTTCAACAGTGGAAGCATCTCAGGTTCTGAACGTTCCACATTCTTGGGATGGGTCTTCCTTCGATTGTCTCTAGGATGTATGACCCCTTTCTGCGTGCCTCCATAACCATGTAGGGACCTTCCCAGCTTGGTCCTAACTTTCCTCTTGACTCGCCGTGACTAGCCTTGTTTTCCTTAGTATTAGGTCACCTATATTGAATGCTCGTTCCTTTACTGTGTTGTTGTAGTATTTCTCGACGTTTGCTTTGTATACTACTTGGCAGAGTGTGAATGTGTCACGCCTTTCTTCTATCAGATTGAGGTTGATGCAAAGGTCTTTGTCATTCTTGGTGTCATTGAATGGGAGTTGTAAGGTCACACCTTATGATCTGATGAGTCAAACACTATATACATTGACTGCCAGCGCCAGTACCAACAACAACATCAACGCTAGCGCCTCAAGCCTTATCAACTTCAGCGTGTAGTTAGTGATCTAATGTAATCTTTGTATATTAGGTAATTATATGAATATGTATAGAATAGATATCATATCCGATATCTTGGTGATAAGGATCGGTTATTAGTATAGATTAGATAGAATGCCTTGATTGAATGGATATACTAGTATAGTTTATTATATATTCAACATTAGGGTGAAACCCTAATGTAATTGTCTTGGTGACCATCTTTGTGACAACTCGTTTTCTTGGTGAAAACAACTCCTTTCTTGGTGAAAGACAATTTATGATTATTTCGTGTTCTTTACTTTTTCTGTTCTTTATTTTGCTTAGTTAGTTTGTTCTTGTTTATTGTAACACTCGTGTTTCTAGCCTAGGCATTTATATTGAGTTGATAGTCCAAGTTAACCTTTGTAACTCATTTTGAAGAAATGAAAAGGAATTATGTGAATATTATGTGAATTATGTGTTTTATGCTTAATTATTAGGGCTTAATTAATTAAGAATAACAATAAGCATCAAAATTAAAATGTGATATAAGCCCGATATCTTTATATAAAGTTGTAGTGGTCAAAACAAGGATTTCGGGGATATAAAGAATACCAAAATCCGAGTTATAACGAAGAAGTTATGACCTGTCGAAGTTTCGCGACAAAACCGACACGACGCTGAATCTCGTAAAAAGTGAGTTTTTGATAAACTACTTTTTAGCCTTAGTAATCTAAACGAAAGTCGTAGTATTCATTAAACCGAGAAGTTCGATAAAAAGAACGCCCAAATCCGACTTCGTATGAGGAAGTTATGATTTTTCGAAGTTTCAGCTTAGTAGTAGACAGCTAAAAACTCGAATTTTAGATTGAGCGATTTTTAGCCGACACAACCTAAACGAGAATTGAAGGTCTCGTCATTTGTAGCACAACGGTAAAAAGTCTGATGAAAACGGACGTTGGATGAAAAAGTTATGAATTTTTAACGGATTTCCTGTCCCAGTCTGTTAAAAATAATAATACAGAAATTAAAGTCAAAATTAGCCGACGAAGTCTAAACGGAAGCTGTAGAGCGTAATTTTAGCTACATGTGCATATAAAGAACGTCAAAAACGGAGCTCGTTTGCGAAAGTTATGGATTTTAGGAGTTTTGGCATGAAAATCGAGAAAATTCGCATAGTCACATTTTTCCACGTCACCTTCGCTGAAAGAGTCCCACGTGTCCTGCTGAGTCATGAGAAGCCACGCGTTGGATCCTAATTCGACTGAGGAGGAGGCCCAATCCGAAGCAGCCAACTCTCTGGCCGAAGCTTCGCCCTGCTGTCGCGTGTTCCGAGCCTCGCATAGCCTAGCTCCAAGCCTCGCACATGGGTCATGACTCCGCGGTCCAATCAGCAGCTGCCACCGAGTCCCTCGCACCTACGCACCCTCGCCTGCAGACCCCACCATCGAAGCCGACTTCGGACCCTATAAATAGAAGGGACCTGTGAGCCTTCTCGGGTAGAATTGGATATTTGCCATTTTTCACCCCTTTCTTAATCTTTTCTTCACCTTAACCTTCCCCGAAGCCCCAGTATCGATTGTAAACCCCGAAATACTCCACGAAGTGCCCGTGAAGCCCGGAAAATTTATCTTTTCGGTTTCGAAGCCCGACTTTTTCAGAGCTCGGTTTCTCAATAAAACTCCCGGTTTTATTAGAAACGATCGTTTTAGGAAACGAATTGCTGTCCGATTTTCATCAAAACAAGTGAGTGTG